AGCTACATTTCAGCCCAGTACTCCTATTTTTCCCTCGTTAGACAACTTTGAACCATTTATCTTACTTTTTTATATTTGCACCCTATACACAGCTATAGAATTCAAGTCAGTATTTCTAGCTGCCTAATCAGTTCATCTATTCTTTGAATTCCCTTTGTCAACACATTCTGTGCATTCAGATTCTCTGAAACATGGTCTCATTAGCATTTGATACCAAGGAACTCCACTGTTTCCTTAGTCAATGATATGCAACCTTGATGTTTTCAGCTCCAAACCGTCTTCTGTTTTCTTGGCATTCACATAGCATTGCCAACTCAAATTTAAATTGCTTTGCTTTATCATACTTAGGGACATTTAAAAAAATCTTTGCCTGTCATTTTTGCAAGATTGATCTGATTTAAATAAATCCAGATGCAAACCAATCTCTGGCATTGCTGAGTATCATTACTGCCTTTTGTTTGCACACTTCATATGATTTGCAACCTGTACTGCTCACATTAGTCCAATTTAAATTAATTTTAAAATTAGATTTCATGCCCTCATATTCACATCTTTACTAAACTCCAGGTATATCCTTTATGCTGAATTCTGTCCACTTACTAATTTTGTAACATGGTTAAAAACCAGTCTTTTGAATTTATCTGTTATAACATATGCTATACATGAGCATACAATTTATTGATCATCAGTCTATTATTCTGTAGAGGTACTGGGACATTTGGAGGACACTCTAGCTAGCATATCTCCTTAAGTTACAGTAATTCTTGGCCTGTTCTAATTTTTTCCAGGGCTGGGACTACAGCCCCTAGAGCTTGAAAATAAGATAGCTATCACCAGCTCCTTTCTTCTCTTCCTACATTGAGTACATATTGGTGCCAGAAAGGTTTTGGCCCATTGTGTATTTGGATTTAATAATTGTTTTATACAAGCAAATTAAACACACACATATACTATAAATACCACAAAATAATAGATGAGACTTATTTTTCTTGTGATGAAAATCTGAAACAAGTAAATATAATTTTAATTACAGCTTGTTTTACTGAAGCAACATTTCCATCTTTGCTATTTATAAATACTTCCATCGTTGCTATTTAGAAACCAGTTCAAATTATGATGATGATTTACTCTTCCACTGCATACATGCTGTATTGTGTTACTCTATAACCGTGTTTCTCCAAGTGAGCCCACCTTGAGAAAGCTGCTAACAGGCTGCACCACTTTGTTTATCTAAAGGCTCCACAGCCATAGAGCCTCACAACTCCCATTGGCTCCGGTTCGCCATTTCCAACAGAGGGGAGCTGCGGGAAATGGGCCCACTTTAAGAAACACTGATCTGTATACTCAAACTACAACTCCGGGTATGTAGGTTTACCTCAGCTATTGGTCAGTGTTCAAGTCTAAACTTTCTTTGGCACATTTAGACCGCCCTCCCATATTTGAGTTTCCTTGGGTGCAGAAGTCAATCCACGTGGATTTGGCTGCATAATCAGGGCCTTACTTCTTTCAGGTCATTTGCAGGTAAAAATGTACATAAACTAGGGAATGAACTTGTATGTCAATAAATATTGTCACAAACTGCAGTCAGTGCCTAGCATGTAGAGTTTCAAGAGGACAGCTGTATGGGTGAACCTAACCACAGGACCCAGGAGAGGTATGAGTAACCATTAAATCTTTGCAGACTGGCCTCTCTCTTTTCTATACTGTTATTTCCACCTTCAGTAGGTGATTGGTAGGATCTAACAGTGGGCTGATTCATGAACTGAATAGTGATATTTAGCAAAGGGAATCCGTCTTCATGCCTAGGTCATAGGATGAGAGGCCATCTAATCACAGAGTGGACATAGTTAATGTCTTCCTATTTGTGGAAAAGGGGAGTCATTCCATCTGTATATGTTAAAATTGATTAAGTTTGATGCCTGACGTCTTAAATCCTTTCATATGAGAGGATGCCTGACGACTTAAATCCTTTCATATGAGCTTTCAGCTTCTTCATATCCTGAATAATGTGAGACATTGATCTTTAGCTCTCTCATATTTTACCCCGGAAGAACCTAAAACCCCCTTATAATGCAAGCAATAGACCTGTAGCCCCTTTGTGAGTAGTCCACTTGACTTCATGACTAAGATCTTTAGAATTTTCCCATTAGGATATTATACATCTGCTGAAATGAGCCATGTGAGCTCTCATCAAATAAATGCATAGGCCAGAAATAACTGTAATGCTTTTTAGGAGGTGGGATAAAATACATCCAAACATACATACATATGTTACCCCAAAGCAGATGGAGTTTAACCTGCTCAATTACTCTAGGCTCTCAGATTATGTCTAGACTGCAAGCCTCTTTTGAAAGAGCCTTTTTTGAAAGATACTTTCGAAAAAGCCTCTTTCGAAAAACAGTGTCTAGACTACAACCAGTACTTTCGAAAAAGAAAGCCGCTTTTTTGAAAGAGAGCACCCAGGCAGTCTGGATCCTCTCTTTTGAAAAAGCACAGTTTGCATTACATAGCACCTTTTTTTCGAAAAAGCACTTTCGAAAAAGGCATTATTCCTTTTAAAACGAGGTTTTCCACAGTCAAAAAAACTACTGCATTCTTTCGATTTACTTTTGCGGGAGAAGTTTTTTCGAAAAAACCCTGTAGTCTAGACAGACCCCCAGTTAAAAGCCAAATCGCTTTCTCTTTATTGCTATTTTAACCCTAGTTAGCTTATCTGAATTAGGAACACGCTTTTTTTCTTTCAGTAATGACTTGCCCTTTCTTCATCAGTTGTGGCTTCCACAAATGAATAAAAGTGGATGTTCAAAATTGTGCACCTCTGCATTTGTATGCATCCAGCCAGTATATAGACATTCCATGATCTACACACACAAGTGCAGTAGATGTGTCCACAGTCATTGTTTGAACCATTGTGCACAGTTTTGTTGACTCTAAACTTCATACTGAGTTCTGTATATTACTGTATTTGCAATGTCAAAAAATAGACATGTACAGAACTCCACGATAAAATAGCAATACAAAGTACAGCAGCCTAAATATCTAGAGAAACAAAGTGAACAAAGCAATATCTTTTATTGGACTAAATTCTGTATGTGAGAAAGTCAAGCTTACAAAGAGCTTTTTTGTTAGGTCATTGTGCATACTTATAAATACTATAGTGTGTTAATTTTAAACATAAATGACATTCTGAACTTTATGTTTGGAAATTGAATTTCAGTGACTTATAACTCAGTATTTTTGTTTTGTTTTCTTGCATTGTCCTGGGTATTATCTCTCAGTAGGGATTAGCCACCTGAAATTTTCTTTAGCAAATGCAGCTATATTTGTGAGATGTATATGTACAATGAAATTAATGTTTTAACATAAAAAAATACATTTATAAGCCATATGTAACTCCAAAGCAGGAGGAAGGATTTGGCTCAGATTTTTCCTAATTAAAAAATTATCTTGGGTCTGAGAACAACCAAGAATATTTCAAATGAAAAGGAGATTTTTTTGTAGAAAGGTATGACCCTCTAAAAATGACAGTTATAATGGACATCTTAGAGTAACTTTAAATAAAGTAACCACTGTAAGATTATTGGGGCCCAGTTTTATGACTTGCACTTACATTATGTAGTATTATATACTGACAGAAGTTTAACTGATTCCAGTAGGACTGCTTATGGTGCTCTGTAATGTGAGTAAGGATGGCAGAATATATTGCTCTTTACGAGCAATATATGTAGCAGTTAATTTATTTTACTTCTTGTGACTGGAGGAACCTTATGGCTGTGCCTAGACTGCATCCCTTTTCCGTAAAAGGGATGCAAATTAGACATATCGCAATTGCAAATGAAGCGGGAATTTAAATCCCCCCTGCTTCATTAGCATAAAAATGGCTGCTGCTTTTTTCAGGCTTGGAGCTTTGCCGGAAAAAAGCGCCAGTCTAGACGCGGATCTTTCAGAAAATAAAGCCTTTTCCGAAAGATCCCTTATCCCTCTTAAAAAAAGCGGCAGCCATTTTTATGATAAAGAAGTGGGGGGGATTTAAATGCATGCTTCATTTGCAATTGCGATATGTCTAATTGCATCCCTTTTATAGAAAAGGGATGCAGTCTAGACACAGCCTGTTATTAAAACAGCTACCAAATACTGAGCAGAAGTAAGGGAATAAATATGTGCTTTCACCTAAACACACACACACGCACACAGATACACACACACACACACAATCTTTCACATCTCTATTCCTTTACTTTTTCAAAGGTGTGTTTGCAAACATTTTCTGTACTATCTGTTCTAACTACTTTCAAGCAGAGACAATGTCCTCTATAATACTATAGTTCTTAGATATTTTTTTAAAACAGACAGTAAATATGACAGTGAGGAAAAAATAAAACTGCAAGAAAACATTCTTCATTATTATTATTTTACAGAGGGGTTGCAAGAAAAGGAAACATTGGAAAGCAAAAAATTATGCAGATATATTTTATATGTTTTATAGTCAGAGAAACTTTCTCCTTATAAATGTTTGTCATAGAAAACGATTACTGTGTTTGAAGATAATAGGAATTAATAACTTCTTACTTAAATATTTTAGTATTATCTTTCAGTGTATTAACACTTAGAACACTATGTTACATTTTTAACAGCCTACAAATGTGTAGTTAGAAATACAGACACATACATGCACTGCATTCAGAGGGTTTAACAAGTGTATAGTTCAGCCTATCAGTTTAAATTCTTTTGCTGTTTTGACATCTGTTATACCTGCTGGATAGTATATGAGAAATATGGATGTCTGTCCATTTTCAGGAAACAACTCTAGGAAACTAAGAGCTTTATTTATTAATATTAGTATTCCTCTGTTCAGTGTTTACACCCTGCTTCTTGTTGTTCTGTTTGTATATTTCTTTGTTTTGTTGAGATGGAAATAAGATCAACACTGCTGCTAAACCATTTATTTCATTAGAAGTTTTTCACCACTTTTAATAGGCTTCCATTATGTGTTTTTACAGCAAGCTTAGTAGTGGAGGAGCAAACACGACAGATGAAAATGAAAATGCACCGATATAATCAGACAACAGGGTCTGGTTCTAGTCAAGAATATGAGCGTGAGCAATATACCAAGGTAATGATAGTAGTATTAAAACAATATTATGTCTGAAAAGATGAAGAAATAATATGGATACTTAAAATATTATCTAATTCTTAAGAATATAATGTTTAATCATAGTTTATTGTATCACTTTGACACATAATCAGAACATTCATTAGACTTTAGGTTTTGAAGTAATCTAAAATGAGTTTGCAAAATATAAAATTCTTTTTCATAAGTTTGTACAGGGCAACATTCTTGCTTCCTAATACTACTACAAACATGATTTTTCCTGCTTGGAAATAAATGAAAGGATTTTGTTTTTGCAGTATGGGCCAAACTTCAGTAGAGTTTTGATCTTTTTTAATAGAAATGTAATTTTTTCTTTTGAGACAAAAATTACCTGAAAAAGTGTTAAAATATTATTCCAAAGGTAGCATATGGCAATTTTTCTTTATAACATGTATATGTGCTTCCAGTCATTTGACCTTTCTGCTGAATGGGTCTCATGTAGAACACAGAAAATAACTTGTAGAGTTCTGTTATGCTTTTTATAAACCAGGCCACAAAGAAGGCAGAGCTGTCCTTTTGTGCATAATTGCTGACGGCATTTGGCCTTCTGGAGCACTGAGGCGAAAGGATGCTTCTAGAGATACTAGGGGAGAAGTACTTAGAAGTAGATCCTATGATTCCTTTTTAAGTATTATTTCTATGTTTTTAAGACCATCAAAGGCAAAACCAACCACTCTGCTGCTTTGCTAGAAGCATTCCAACAACAAAAACATTGTATTGAGAATCTTGCATAACGATGATTTTCTTTCTATGTGCAGCCATGGGGTGGCAGTATGAAGATAAAAGCATACTGTAGGAATTTATAGGTACGCAGCATTACCAGCCCCATGACTGTAAACAGGTCAAAAATCATAAAAAGGAGCCCCCGACTAATTAGATTGTAAAGAGTATATTTTGGGATCCTTTTATATGCTTTCTAGTTTTTGAGTCTTTTGTGTTCACATTTTAAGTTGTTCTTAACAATGATGGACTATAAACTTTTTTTTAATAATGAAATCTGGGATTTACACCCCAGGCACTAGGTCTTTAAGAATGCCAAAAATTACAAGACTTGGAGTAAAATCACGTTGGCAACACTATGCTACAAACATGTGCTCCACAAATACACCACTCGATGTTTCTGTGAACACAGCAACTTCCAGTTAAAGTTAATGGGAACTGCTGGATCCTTAATACTTCAAAAAGAAGGCCACACACCTAAATCCCCATATTTAGGTTTTGAAATTTTGGTCTTTGTAGAGCAGTTTGAATACAGGAATATTCATATAAATGGGATATAATTTGTCAGCATAAATAGAAGAGATAAATACAGAAATTCCCAGTAAGAGGAAGATAATATATCCAGATAAAGGGAAGAGAGTTCCCTCTACAAGTTATACCTCCCTTAACTGGGATTCCTTAGTCCAGCAACATCTGTAGTCTGGCATGGACCATGGATATTCATGACAACAGAGCCCAGAAAGAGGGAGGTCTGGTGGCAGGGCAGGAGCATTGTAAGGGGCACCAGTGACTCAACCTGGAGCCCAGAGTGTGTGTGTTGGGGAGGTGAGGGAGGACGGACAGATGGCATGGTGGAAAGTTCTGGCCCCAGCAGAGTTCCCAGGCTCCAGAGGCCAGGGAGCTCTAGCCTAGCCATGGCCATGGACCTCCAGCCCCGGCCAGGGAGCTTCAATCCCAGTGGCAGCCAGAGATCCGTAGCCCTGTCCCTGGCTGCAGAGCTCTGGCCACGTTCTGGCTCCAGCAGCTGGGGAACTCCAGCCCTGGCCCCAAAGGCAGCAAGGGAGCTGTGGCCTAGGCTGCAGGGCTCCAGCCCCATCTCACCGCCCTGGCCACAGAGCCCCAGCCTCAGCCCCAGCCGCAGAGCCAGGTGGCTACACAGCTCTGGCTGTGGAGCTCCAGCCCTGGCAATAGTGGGGCCGGAGAGAGCTCCGAGAGGATGAGACAGCATCGGGGGCAGGCTGCAGCCCCAGCCCGGTAGCAGCACGGCCTCGAGAAGAGAGACCTTCCCTGGTCCAGCAAATCACCTTGTTTAGGACCAGTCAAGGAGGGAGCCAGACATGGGTGTTGCCAGACTAGATAGTCCTGGTTTAGAGAGGTACAACCTGTAGTTTCTTTGGGCACCTCATAGACACAAAAAGATTTTTCAAATCACTCTTGGTTCACAGCTGCAGGTCAAGCTTTAGTCATAGTTGGTTTGTTCTAACTACATATACAATTGAAGTCAGAGGTTTACACTGTTCTAAACACACACAATTTTCATAATTTTTCAACGCAGGCATGCTAGACCTTAATTTCTGAAGTACAGCGAAACACTTATGGATTACATTTGTCTCAAAGAGGATCATGTGCTTTGGTTGGTATTTGCTGTCAGCCCTTCAAGTTCCTAATTTTTTCCCAGTATTTATACATATTCATATGAGGAACTGAGGCCAAAATTAAACCATAAGCATTTCAATGCTAAACTAAAATAATTTTATTACATCCCTGTTTGCTAAGAAAGAATTTTTAAATAATGATCACATCTTAAAGGAAGCCTGGTGTCCATTTATTGTAGTGACAGGGTTACCTTTTCTGGATACCTGATGTCATTACAAAGAAGCTGAACTTTTCAAGATAAAACAATGGAGTGTAACATGAATAATTTATGGCTGAACTTGAAATCCAAAATATCTTTAACCATGTACCTGTTTATTGTTCCAGATGATTAAAATCAAATATAGCATCTGAGCTGATGAGCATGTGTCACCTGATCCTGATATGTGGGTGGATAAAGTTTACACTTTGACCTGTTAGGGCTTTTTTAAATCTGCTAATTTTAACTGGTCACTACTATATTGTGCCTTTTGCTCCAGTAATTTTGTCATTTTATGTGTTAAGTTTATTATTGCACAGATAATATTGCCACCTGGTTCCCAGATATTCATTGATTCCTTCCTGTTTTTCTTTTTAACCAAAGTAAACTATTTATATCTCGTGCCTGCTCCTAAAGTGTGTATAGGGTGCATCAGCTGGTCCAACAGCATGCCTCTGATTCCATGCCGGCTCAAGATTGCCTCACTCCCTATGCCCCAGATGTGAACTGTTTACCAGCCTGGAAGCCCTGTCTGTGTGCCCAGTATACAATACCGTGTCCACAAATCCACACAACTGCTTATCTGGCCTGTTTGCTACATGATTCTGAAAGTGAAAATACAGGAAAATTAACTCTGATTTTCGGCCTGCATCCATATGCATCCTGTCTACACTTGAATGTGCCTGAGTCATTGTGGCCCCCAGCCCAGGTGGAGCCATAACCATTGCACCCCATCCAGAAAAAAAGTAGGAACCAAATTCTTGCACCAGAAGCCCCAGATTTAAAAGCCCCCTTTTGAAAACTGTGATAAAGTTGTGAGGAGTTTTCCATCACCATGGGCAAAACAGGGCTTTATGTGTAATTCCTTAATGATCTCACTGGGCAATTCCTTGCTTCCCTCCCCCGCCACCTGTAGCATTATGGACTCATCTTGACCCCTTGACCAGTTTTGGAACCCGTCAAACCTTTGGTTTAGACAACTGATTGTGTTTCCCATTGTCGATTCTTACACTGCAAAGCTCTTCCCAAAATATCGCTTGTTGACCCAGACATTAGTAAACTAACTTTAAAAGCTCCAAAAAACTGTGACCAGGAAAGCATCTTTGAAGAAGGATGCTTTGTGGCTGCTTCTACGCATTTGATTGAGAACTTGCACCAAGTCTCTAAGGCCATTTCTACACTTAAAAAATGATGCATCGTTGCAGCTGCACCAGTGTAGCTGCACTACAGTACCGCTTTAATGCAAATGCTCTAAGCTCAGGAGAGAGTGCTCACCTATAGGTTTAGTTAATCCATCTCACCAAGACGCCATAGCTATGTTGGTGAGATAAGCTCTCCTGCTGACATAGCGCTGTTTATATGTGGGGATTAGGTCAGTAAAAGTAACCTAGTTATACTAGTATAGGTCTGTATTGTGTACCAGGCCTAAGTGTTTGAATAGTGATGGGATAACATGGATCTTCTGTAGGGTCAGTGTCCTGAGATTAGTCCACTGAAACCCTCTGGACTAAGAAGCAACCACAAGGATCTGCCTTCATTCTACTGGCAACATAAGATTCTATAGGTGACCAGAGATGGTAGAGTGCACCATGTATTGCAGTACATCTGAGTAGGCCATATCATTTGATAGGCCTTCCCAACTCTGAAATTGCACAAAATCATTAATATTCCTGCTATAGGCCCTAAGCATTCATGACTCTACTGATCTCTGAACTGCCTTGACCCTGAACATGTCAAGGTTCCAGAATGCTACCAGCAGCTCTCTAGTGCTAGGCTCTTGATATTTGTCCATCTGAAATCAAGGCATCACATTGTCTAAGCCATTATCAATCCTGGGCATATGCTTGGCAGAGAAACATATGCTAAGATTTAGCCACTATTATACTAATCTCTATGAACTAGAGGTCTGAACGACTGGTGATTGTTGACATGTACCACAGCAATGGTGTCATTACAAAACTGCATTTTATGTTTCCAGGACAGTTCCTCAAATAGTTACTGCTACCAAAATGGAGAGGGGGGGGGGGGGCAGAATCTAGGAGAGCTAGATCCTTCACTACACCTCTTTGGGCATACCACCTGTCTTCATAAATATTCCAAAACCTATTCCTCATGATGCATCTGAATGAACCTTTATATCTGTCTCTATTATCCTTTCCTCCCTCCAAAACAATATTGTGTACAGGCAGTCCCCGGGTTATGTACAAGATAGGGACTGTAGGTTTGTTCTTAAGTTGAATCTGTATGTAAGTTGGAACTGGCGTCCAGACTCTGCCTCGGGCTTCCTGTAGTCAGCCGCTGGTCAGTTTCAGCAGCGGCTGATTTGGGGATGCCTGGGGCAGAGCAGCTGGGGTGCTGCCCGGTTGGTCCAGTAGCGCCGAGGAGCGGC